GATAGAGTGATAGAATTCTGCCCAACCATGGTAAGAGAGCTCCCCTCAGTGGTCAATAGAGCAACTAAGTATCTTCTTCTATGGCACAGGGATTCCCAAACTTTTAATGTCAAGGCGCCATGAATATCATAAGCCTCCAAACTATGGAAGCTCATTCCCGACACAATATATATCCCTACTCCTGCTTTGTCTTGCCATGAAGACCACCTATCTGGCCCCCAACACTATGTTGTAGCATTCATTAGTGAGTTACATAAGGCCCACATAGTCATCATGATGAGTGATAGAATTCTGCCCAACCATGGTAAGAGAGCTCCCCTCAGTGGTCAATAGAGCAACTAAGTATCTTCTTCTATGGCACAGGGATTCCCAAACTTTTAATGTCAAGGCGCCATGAATATCATAAGCCTCCAAACTATGGAAGCTCATTCCCGACACAATATATATATATTTTTTATGTTGATACTATCTCAAAATGTTGAGATATGTAACAAAAATGTTGTAGATACAATCTAAAAATAGTAGATCAAATATACAGCTGCGGAAAAAATTAAGAGACCACTGCAAAATTATCAGTTTCTCTGGTTTTACTATTTATAGGTATGTGTTTGTGTAAAAATAAACATTTTTTTTTAAATTCTATAAATTACTGACAACATTTCTCCCAAATTCCAAATAAAAATATTGTTATTTAGAGCATTTATTGCAGAAAATGACAACTGGTCAAAATAACAAAAAAGATGCAGTGTTGTTAGACCTCGAATAATGCAAAGAAAATAAGTTCATGTTCATTTTTAAACAACACAATAATAATGTTTTAACTTAGGAAGAGTTCAGATCAATATTTGGTGGAATAACCCTGATTTTCAAACACAGCTTTCATGCGTCTTGGCATGCTCTCCACCAGTCTTTCACATTGATGTTGGGTGACTTTATGCCACTCCTGGCACAAAAATTCAAGCAGGTCGGCTTTGTTTGATGGCTTGTGACCATCCATCTTGCTCTTGATCACATTTTTTTCACAAGTTTTCAATGGGGTTCAGGTCTGGAGATTGGGCTGGCCATGACAGGGTCTTGATCTGGTGGTCCTCCATCCACACCTTGATTGACCTGGCTGTGTGGCATGGTGCATTGTCCTGCTGGGAAAAACAATCCTCAGAGTTGGGGAACAATGTCAGAGCAAAAGGAAGCAAGTTTTCTTCCAGGACAACCTTGTACGTGGCTTGATTCATGCGTCCTTCACAAAGACAAATCTGCCCGATTCCAGCCTTGCTGAAGCACCCCCAGATCATCACCGATCCTCCACCAAATTTCACAGTGGGTGCGAGACACTGTGGCTTGTAGGCCTCTCCAGGTCTCCGTCTAACCATTAGACAACCAGGTGTTGGGCAAGCTGAAAATTGGACTCATCAGAGAAGATGACCTTACTCCAGTCCTCTACGGTCCAATCCTTATGGTCTTTTGCAAACCTCAGCCTGGCTCTTCTTTGCTTCTCATTGATGAAGGGCTTTTTTCTAGCTTTGCACGACTTCAGCCCTGCCCCTAGGAGCCTGTTTCGAACCGTCCTCGCCGTGCACTTCACCCCAGCTGCTGTTTGTCATTCTTTTTGTAGGTCAATTGATGACATCCTACGGTTGTTGAGTGACATTCGAATGAGTTGGCGGTCATCCCGGTCAGTAGAGAGTCATTTCGCCCTCTGCCGGTCTGTAGCTTTGTTGTCCCCAATGTCTGCTGCTTGACCTTGTTCTTATGAACCGCCGTCTTTGACATTTTAAGGATGGAAGCAACCTGACGCTCACTGTATCCCTCTGCCAGTAAAGCCAGAATTGAACCCTCCTTTTCCTCACTCAAACCTTTCCTTTTCAACTCTTTTGGCATGGTCAATAGTTATTTTTTAATTAATATTACTTTTGAGGTACTATTAGCACTGTTTTTGCCATCCAGCTGGTCCTATTGCAAGAGGATAGTGATGCCCACAGCCGTGGTTTTTATACTTTTCCTCATTAAATATAATTTGGTTCATGTGATCACCTAATCAGTACCTAATTCAGTAGAATGAGGTGTGCCTGTGTTGGAATTCAACAGACACTGAAATGGAATGGCTGTCATACATGTAGAGATGCTGATTTAAGAAAAATGTACAGTGGTCTCTTCATTTTTTCCACAGCTGTATATAGGATATGTTTCTTCTTTTGTAGCATTGTGTGGCGATTTCCATCTACAGTATACATGTTACAGAGATCAGCACAGCAGGGCTGCCGGCAAAAGTATGGCGAGCTGGCATTTGCCCCAGCACTTTTAGGCGATTTAGTTTAATAAAAAATATTGACACAAAAGTGTTGGAAATGTTTAGACTGATTTGCCTCATGATTTGTCAATTTGTGCATAATTAATCTGTGCTTCAGTCTGAACTGTAGCCTACTTATAACAACCACAGCTGTAGGTAGCCTAGAAAAGCCTATGCGGTCTGATCCCCTCTGGCCAGGGGAAATCAAGTGGTAATGTCATGTATTTATAATCTGAGAGGCACAAAGTACGTGAGGATGGGGGGGTGGGGGGGGGGGGGGGGTGGTCTGGATTGCATTTTTCAAACACCTGAAACCTTTTTTCTGCAATCTAGAGCCACAATCATTATGCTTAAATCTATGTCAAAAATATCGTACTTTTTCTACATGTCTAAGTATACCTCTTGAGCTGTCTGTATCCTCCTTACTGGTGGATATTCTTTTAAAGAACTAAATATGTTTCCTGCATCTCTGTTAAAATCTGGGTAAAATATTAAAAGGAATGTGAGTCTTATTCAGTACATTTAGTAATTGCTACCAACCTGGATATGGAGTTGGTCCCCCTTTGCTGCTATAACAGCCTTCACTCTTCTGGAAAGGCTTTCCACTAGATGTTGGAACATTGCTGCGGGGACTTGCTTCCATTCAGCCACAAGAGCATTAGTGAGGTCGGGCACCGAAGTTGGAAGATTAAGCCTGGCTCGCAGTCAGCGTTCCAATTCATCTCAAAGGTGTTCGATGGGGTTGAGGTCAGGGCTATGTGCAGGCCAGTCAAGTTCTTCCACACCGATCTCGACAAACCATTTCTGTATGGACCTCGTTTTGTGCAAGGGGTCATTGTCATGCTGAAATAGGAAAGGGCCTTCCCCAAACTGTTGCCACAAAGTTGGAAGCACAGAATTGTATGCTGTAGCGTTAAGATATCCCTTCACTGGAACTAAGGGGCCATGAAAAACAGTCCCAGACCATTATTCCTCCTCCACCTAACTTTACAGTTGGCACTATGCATTCGGGCAGGTAGCGTTCTCCTGGCATCTGCCAAACCCAGATTCATCTGTCGGACTGCCAGATGGTGAAGCGTGATTCATCACTCCAGAGAACGCGTTTCCACTGCTCCAGAGTCCAATGGCAGCGAGCTTTACACAACTCCAGCCGACGCTTGGCATTGCGTATGGTGATCTTAGGCTTGTGTATGGCTGCTCGGCCATGGAAACCCATTTCATGATGCTCCCGACAAACAGTTATTGTGCTGACTTTGCTTCCAGAGGAAGTTTCAAACTCGGTAGTGAGTGTTGCAACCGAGAACAGACGATTTTTACGCGCTACACGCTTCAGCGCTCGCCGGTCTCGTTCTGTGAGCTTGTGTGGCCTACCACTTTGCCGTTGTTGCTCCTAGATGTTTCCACTTCACAATAACAGCACTTACAGTTGACCGGGGCAGCTCTAGCAGGGCAGAAATGTGTTGAAGTGACTTGTTGGAAAGGTGGCATCCTATTACGGTGCCACGTTGAAAGTCACTGAGCTCTTCAGTAAGGTCATTCTACTGCCAATGTTTGTCTATGGAGATTGCATGGCTGTGTGCTCGATTCTATACACCTGTCAGCAGCTGGTGTGACTGAAATAGCTGAATCCACTAATTTGAAAAGTTGAATGCACCAATTTGTAAGTCGCTCTGGATAAGAGCGTCTAATAAATGGCTTAAATGTTAAATGTTAAATGTGTCCACATACTTTTGTATATACAGTGTAGTTATGAGGTTGGGAGATTGGGAACCTATCTGGGCTAACTAAAGCCAACTTCATAAAATTGCTAGGTGACTAGTAGTGTTAGAGATAAACAACTACAAAAAAGCTAACTATCTTAGCTGGTATGCCTGCTGGCAAGTTTGGTAGACATCTCAAGCAGTGCTTAAAAATGCAGAAGAATTAACGTTTTAATTTTTTCAAGGTTAGTAGTCATTTCAAGAGGTGTTTAGGATATGCAGAAAAATAAACATCTATTTTCGTTTACATAGAATTAAGCATATTTATTAAAAAGGCACATTTTTCCACCCCTCAGCCATCCTCACGGAATTTGTGCTCCCTCCGATTTTGGGGGTGCATGACACCCCTTGACGAAGTCCTGCCATCTGTCGTCACAAAAACAGAATTCTCCTGCTAAAATTGAAGGGAATCATACAGCAGATGGCGGAAGAGGACAACGCGTCCTCGCCACTCTGGAGAGGGAGTGAGAGAGAGTGGCACGAGTTTTCCAGTCAGCCACATTTTTCTCAGATCTGCAGTCACGCACCCTTGCTTCTCGACTCCCCAGCGCGAGCTGCTATGCAGCAGCCACTCCTTATTCTCCCTTTTGGCCGAAACCCGGGAGTGCCCTAGGCAACAGCTGTATGCGCGAGGCAGCAGGCATGCCCAATGACCATGCCCAGAAGCCGCGGTCTAGCCGGCGAGGGGCTCTGCAGAAGAGACCGCGTGCGGACTACTTTGAGAAAGGCGGGAATATAGGAGAGCACCGCTCTTTTCGCAGAGATTCAAAATGGGCTTCTGAGAAATAGAACAAACATGAATTTGGTATAACTATATGGACGTTAGATAAAGAGTGTATATTTGGGTCCATGTGTGAAGTTAGGATTGGTTGGCTTGTGCACTGAATTCGTAGGTTACTGACCGTCGTAGGATAGATACTTTTATCCTCCCATTGGAGTAGCCTAGTTCAATGATGGAGAATGCGACGCAGCCCCAGCTGATGGTCAAGAGCGCAGAGAGTCCAGCGGAGGAGCTCTCCAAGATAAGCGACCAGGAGCTGCTCAAGTGGAGCAAAGAGGAGTTGGTGCGGCGGCTACGGAGGGCAGAAGCCGAGAAGATGGGCGTTATGCTTGACCACGGGAATTTGATTCGGGAGGTGAACCGGCGACTCCAGCAGCACCTGACCGAGATCCGGGGTTTGAAGGTGAGGCAGGTGTGGTAATGTCGGGCGCGCAACTTTGCGCACTGCTCTATGGATGTCTGACAGTCTTATGTTGTGTAGCCTTTCTAGGCATGTTTCCTAATGCAAAAAAGCCATGGTCTAATCATGCGTTAAAAAAGCTGTAGCCTATAGTCCTACCTCTGCAAACTCCTTGAAAATAATGAAGGTAGGTGGTTTGAAGGTAGCAATGTAGTCTTCAAGTAGCCTACATCATAATCCAACCCAATGATCCACTTGTTGCTTTTATGCTTTTCCTATTACATCTGGAACTGCTGAGGATATTTAAACACAACCACAAAAGTAAATTTTGGAAGGCCTATGATTTGTTTCAAAATCACAGTAAATGAATCATCAATAAAATACATCACCATCAACACACACACGCTCCCCCTCCATACACAATTGCGTGCTCAACATTTGTTATCAGAAGTCCCATATGATAAATTATATATCACCTCCTATGTGCTTTCTCCTATTTGTGTGTGTGTGTATGTGTGTGTATCCAGGATGTGAACCAGAAGCTGCAGGAGGATAACCAGGAGCTGCGGGACCTGTGCTGTTTCCTGGATGACGACCGTCAGAAGGGCAAGCGTGTGTCCCGGGAGTGGCAGCGTCTGGGCCGCTACAGTGCCGGCCTCATGAGGAAAGAGGTGGCCCTCTACCTGCAGAAACTCAAGGAGCTGGAGCAGCGCCAGGGAGAAGTGATCAGAGAGAATCTGGAGCTCAAAGAGCTGTGTATCCTACTGGATGAGGAGAAAGGGGGAGGAGGGGGAGGAGCAGGGCAGAGTGCAGGGTGCAGAAGCTCGATTGACAGCCAGAGTAGTCTGTCTCAAACTGGGGGGGCTACACTGGGCTTGCTCCGTGACGTGGGGGATGGGAGCAGCACCTCGAGTGCGGGAAGCACGGACAGCCCCGACCACCACCACCGCAAGCCCCTTCACCAGGGCTCCGGCCTGGGCTCCAACCCTGGCTCCCACCATGACAAACCAGAGGGCCCGGGCCTCGAGTCTACAGGCCGCCGCCACAGCTCCACCCCAGATTACCACACCTTCCCCCAGGCCTGCAGGCCCCGCGGGGGGTCCCTCACCAGCCCTGATCCCAGGGGCCTCCGGGGGCCCTGCAGCCCAGAGAAACACGGCATATTCCCTACACAACTGGCGGCTGAGGCCCACTCCAAACCCAGCAGTGCTGACATGCTGGCCCAGAAACAGCTTTTGGGGTCCGGGCAAGGGTTAGGGCCAAACCAAGGTTCGGGCCAGTCAAGTCCTGACCTCTCACGGAGACACAGGGTTAATGCGGTCGGGGTTGGGGCTGGATGTGGGACCACTGAGCCCAAACAGGCACTAACAGGGATGCCAGAGCACCTGAGGAAGGGTCGGGTGATTGTGGGGAGCCATGAAGTGTTACGACACCACAACCACAGCCCCAGTTCAGAGCACGGAAAGGGGAGGTACGGCAGCAGCCCCCCAGCAGGCAGGGAGTGGGGACAGAGGAGGACCACTGGAGACGAGTTGTCCCCTCACCACGGCAGCATCTACAATGGCATGAATGGTGAGTTTTTATCCAGAATTGTACTAATGCTTTATTTAATTATTTAACAGGGACAATATGTAGCTGAGGTGGTTCAAGGAACTATGCTTGTGTGATGTCTGAGACATTAACCCCATCTGAGACATAACACTCACGCCTAGGCTTTAGCTGAGTGGGCTTACAGTCTTTTGGTGTGCAGGCAATCTGGGTTAGCACACCCTGTAGCCCTCCAGGACTAGGGTTGGTGACCACTGTATATGGCTAGGTCAACCGTATAAATCAAATACAATTGTATTTGTCACATGCACTGAATACAAAAGGTATATACTTTAACTTGCTAGCTAAGTGGCTAGATGTCAAGATCAAGCTTGCTTCCATTCAACCACCAGAGCATTAGGTCGGGCATTGATGTTGGGCGATTAGGCCTGGCTCGCAGTCAGTGTTCCAATTCATCCCAAAGGTGTTCGATGGGGTTGAGGTCAGGGCTATGTGCAGGCCAGTCAAGTTCTTCCACAACGATCTCGACAAACCATTTCTGTATGGACCTCGCTTTGTGCACGGGGACATTGTCATGCTGAAATAGGAAAGGGCCTTCCCCAAACTGTTGCCACAAAGTTGGAAGCAGAGAATCGTCTAGAATGTCATTGTATGCTGTAGCGTTAAGATTTCCCTGAACTGGAACTAAGGGGCCTAGCCCGAACCATGAAAAACAGCCCCATAACATTATTCCTCCTCCACCAAACTTTACAGTTGGCACTATGCATTTGGGCAGGTAGCGTTCTCCTGGCATCCGCCAAACCCAGATTCGTCTGTCAGACTGCCAGATGGTGAAGCGTGATTCATCACTCCAGAGAACGCGTTTCCACTGCTCCAGAGTCCAATGGCGGTGAGCTTTACACCACTCCAGCCGACGCTTGGTGATCTTAGGCTTGTGTGCGGCTGCTCGGCCATGGAAACCCATTTCATGAAGCTCCCGGCGAACAGCTATTGTGCTGACGTTGCTTCCAGAGGCAGTTTGGAGTTCGGTAATGTGTGTTTCAACCGAGGACAGATGATTATTACGCTCTACATGCTTCAGCACTCTGCGGTCCCGTTCTGTGAGTTTGTGTGGCCTACCACTTTGCGGCTGAGCAGTTGTTGCTCATAGACTTTTCAATTCACAATAACAGCACTTACAGTTGACCGGGGCAGCTCAAGCAGGGCAGGAATTTGTTGAAGTGACTTGTTGGAAAGGTTACATCCTATGACGGTGCCACGTTGAAAGTCACTGAGCTCTTCAGTAAGGCCATTCTACTGCAAATGTTTGTCTATGGAGATTGCATGGCTGTGTGCTTGATTTTATACACCTATTAGCAACGGGTGTGGCTGAAGTAGCCGAATCCACTAATTTGAAGGGGTGTCTACATACTATATAGTGTCGTTTTGTGCGTAACAATAATATATCATAATACATTTAGTAACGCCCATTGTGTGCACTTCCGGTAATACCGTATACCCTGGTATGGTACAGAAATGGTATGACGGTATGAAAATCTGGGTACTGCTCAACCCTAGTAGTATCACCGTGGTTCAGCAGTAGTTACGGTGTTAGCAAAGCAGCAGTGATGTCACCGCTCTGTGGGATTCTCTCTCTGTGGAGTTGTGGTGGTGTTTGTGCTTGCGTGTGTGTGTTCGTTTGTGTGTGATTGGGGGAAGGCATATGATGTAACACTCCCCAGGGTGTCTGAAGTCAACACAGGTAACACAGCCGTGTGCGTTCAGGGCCGTGATTCAGGTAACACACACACACACACAGCCTGCAGTTGTGCCACTAAGCACAACAGGGTCCTGTCTCCTTGTTTCATTATTATAAAATTGATTATTAGCATCTTTTAGTTATTTTTCCGCACAGTTCCAGGGGCACGTGTGTGTGTCTAAGAGTTCAGGGAGTTATTTTGCGGCACTGTGTCCTGGATAAACACACACAGAGAGAGAGAGTGAGTAGGGATGTCCACTTAGTTAAATAAGAGGCTTTTATTTGACATTTAAATAACATTAAATCAAACAGATTTTCATAATAACCTTGACAAGTCTTTGTCTTTTCATAGTAAAGGCCTCATTTATACCTAAAAATATATCAATTTCAGTGACTGCATTGACTGAGGGACAGTAAGTATGCATGTTTTTGGGTTAAATTATGTCAGTGTGTCTTTACTTTTAAGAATGTATGTGCATATGTTTATATGTTTGTGAGACAGAGACAGAGAGATAGAGAGAGAGAGAGAGAGAGAGAGAGAGAGAGAGAGAGAGAGAGAGAGAGAGAGAGAGAGAGAGAGAGAAGCCTTGAGATGGTAAAGATTAGTGTAGAGTGCTGAGTGGATCCTGTGTGTAAGGCCATGGGGTTTGAGTCCTGGAGGTGAGAAGTTAGCCTGACGCTGCGTTTATCACCACAGAACTACACTAAGTAAAATTGAAAGTCACCCAGTAAAATACTACTTGAGTAAAAGTCTAAAAGTATTTGGTGTTTAATATACTTAAGTATCAAAAGTAAATTGAATTGCTAAAATATACTTAAGTATCAAAAGTAAAAGTATAGATCATTAAACATTTATTATATTATTAAGCAAACCAGATGGCACCATTTTCTTGTATTTTTTTATTTTTATTTGCGGATAGCCAGGGGCACACACCAACACTCAGACATCATTTACAAGTAAAGAATGTGTTTAGTGAGTCCGCCAGATCAGAGGCAGTAGGGATGACCAATGGTGGAACAAGCTCCCCCACGACGCCAGGACAGCGGAGTCACTGACCACCTTGAGACACTTGAAACCCTACCTCTTTAAGGAATACCTGGAATAGTATAAAAGTAATCCTCTCCCCCCCACCCTCCCCCACCCCCTCATAAACAAAATAATTTAAAAAAGTGGTTGTCCCACTGGCTATCATAAGTTGAATGACCAATTTGTAAGTCGCTTTGGATAAGAGTGTCTGCTAAATTATGTAAATGTACATGTAAATGTTCTCTTGATAAGCGTGTGAATTGGACCCTTTTCCTTTCCTGCTAAGCATTCAAAATGTAACGAGTACTTTTGGGTGTCAGGGAAAATGTATGGAGTAAAAAGTACATTATTTTCTTAGTACAGATACCTCAAAAAATGACTTAAGTAGTACTTTAAAGTATTTTTACTTAAGTACTTTACACCACTGATCTATGGATTTCACATGACTGGGCATTCAGATATGCATCTGTTGGTGGATCAGAAAACCAGTCAGTATCTGTGACCACCATTTGCCTCATGCAGCACGACACATCTCCTTCGCATAGAGTTGATCAGGCTGTGGATTGTGGCCTGTGGAATGTTGTCCCACTCTTCTTCAATGGCTGTGCGAAGTTGCTGGATATTGACTGAAACTGGAACACGTTGTCCTACACGTCGATCCAGAGCATCCCAAACATGCTCAATGGGTGTCATGTCTGGTGAGTATTCAGGCCATGGAAGAACTGGGACATTTTCAGCTTCCAATTATTAACATGGGACCAACACTTTACATGTTGCGTTTATATTTTGGTTCAGTATAGATTAACGGGGGTGATTCCCCTTTTTGGGTGATGTAGTTGCTACCTTATTCAAATATCTAAGAAGTATAATCCATTTAAAGGTAGACTCAGCGATATTACGTAGATGGAGAAAGTAAACCGCATAGTGGGTCAATGTGGTCCTCTGTAGCTCAGCTGGTAGAGCACAGCGCTTGTAACGCCAGGGTAGTGGGTTCGATCCCCGGGACCACCCATACACAAAAATGTATGCACGCATGACTGTAAGTCGCTTTGGATAAAAGCGTCTGCTAAGTGGCATATTATTATTATGTGAAAGCAAAGTGTTGCATCTCGCTTATCTCAATATCTCCGGTGCCGCTCATGGCAATGTCATTTAACTAAGTCTAACATTCAGATCCATTTTTTATGAGAGGATTGATCATTTAGAGGCATATTGAACAGGGATTAGAGAGTAATTGAGAAGTGGGCCTGTGCTACTGTGTACGCTAGAGTTTAATATAGGGCTTTAGAAGGCACATCACTGTCAGAACAGGGTGTACAGTAAAGTATGAAGGGCTTGGAGTGTGTTCATATTTATCTCTCTCTCTATCTCAGCCTCACTCTCACTCTCATCCTCCTCTCTTTCTCTTTTTCTGTAATTTCCTTTACCTCATTCTTTCTCTCAGCCTCTCATTCTCTCTGCTCCCTCCCTCCCTGCTGTGGAAGCTGAGTTTACTGGGAAATGAATGTCTCTGTCTGGTGCTCACTCACCCTCTGACACCATGAGCGAACGAAGGGAGAACAGTCTTCAGGAGCTGCCGCCGCTTAACACTGCTCTCCCTCCCCCTTCTCTCTATATCCTCCTGCCTCTGTTTTTATCCCTTTCCTTCTTTCACCCTCTCTTTCTCCTCTCACCCCATAGTCTCTCAGTCTCAAATCACCCTACCTCGCTCTCTTCCTCCCAGCACCTTATTTTTTCTTCCCGTCTTCAAAACCCCTCTTTCTGTCTCCATCCCTTTCTTAATGTTACAGAAGCGATTGGGCTAATGCATACTATGTGTGGTCTGGTCTGTTGGTCTCCGGGTTATAGGCACATAGAGGCACCAGTTAGCCTGGCTGGTGTTCTGCCATTGTATGTGTCTGTGACAATCCTGTTCCCTATGTATGTGTGCAGTGTGTGTGCCTTGTGTTGTGCTCTATCAAATTGAATTCAATTGTATTGGCATGACTGTTGCCATAGTGTTAAATAACCTGGTTAATCACAACAAGCAATTAATGAATGCTTTATCACATTTTTCAAAAGCCTGAAGGTAACATGCTGTATGGTTTCCATGAGCTCTAGCCATGTCTGTGTGTCTGTGCTCTCTCTGGTCTCCCTCTGTCCTGCCAACTGTACATGTACATTCAGCATAGCAGTATGTGCTGTAGTCTCTGGCATGGGTAAATCTTCATTATAAAACAGAGCTTTGTCGACAAGATCCAGCACCTTAACAAATGATG